TTAATAAAAATATATATTTTTTAAAAAGCCTCCAGCCCTAACCAGTTTCACTCGGTGGATAGAGCGTCGGCCTGCGGACTGAAACCCAGGTTCGGGTTCGATTCCGGTCAAGGGCATGTACCTTGGTTGTGGGCACGTCCCCAGTGGGGAGTGTGCAGGAGGCAGCTGATTGATGTCTCTCTCCCATCAATGTTTCTAACTCTCTATCCCTCACCCTTCCTCTCTGTAAAAAACCAATAAAATATATTTTTAAAAAATTTAAAAAAATAAAAAAGCCTCCAGACTCTGAGACTTGGGGTAGGAAAGGGCCAGTACCTGGGGGAAGGGCAGCTGTGGAGAGTCTCCGGACAGCATGGGGCACTCACTTACCCCTCAGGCAGCGTGATGTACTTGTGCGGAATGAGCCCGCAGGTGCCAGCATACTCGCCCCGCCACCAGTCGTCCGAGGCCCGCTCGTGCAGCCGCAGCACGTCCCCACGCTGGAAGGTCAGCTCCTTGGCCGTGCGGCCCGTGTAGGAAAAGCAGGCCACCGCCTCCACGACGCCCTCCAGGACTGGGGAGAAGAAGGGGTCTGAGTGGGGGGGTGGAGTGGGCACCCAGGGCAGGGCCAGGGTGGGGTCCTCCTTCCAGATACCCTCACCATCCTCCTGGGCTGGGGTCCCAGCTTCCAGCTCCGGCTCGTTCTCGCCTGCCAGTCCCTCCACCTGGGTGTCCCTGAGGCCCAGAGTAGAGCAAGGACGATGAGCATTTAGGGGGTTCCGGTGGACCGCCCCCCGAACCCCGTCCCCCAGCAACACAAAGAGCGTACCCCAGGCAGCTGGCGGAAGGCGGTGCCATGCACTTCTCATAGACAGGGCCCGGCAGCAGGGTGAGGGGTGGGAAAACCCGTGCGGGCTGCACAATGAGCGTCTGCACCAGCTGGTTCACCTGGCCCTGCAAGGCCACGGGGTCCTGCCCAGGGGGCACGGGCAGCAGCGTCGGCCCAAAGCACACGGCCAGGTTGTAAGGGTCCATCATGTTCTCATCGCTATACTGGGCCAGGCTGGGGGCACACGCGGGTCACAAGCAGGGAACTCCCTGCCCCGTGTCCCCTGCCCCCCCTGGGCAGCCCCCCTGGCCCCCGAGAAGCACTCACTGGCTGAGGAAGGTGAAGAGGTAGCGCAGCACCACCAGCACTGGGCCCGGCAGCTGTGTCAGAAGGCGGCTCACCAGCTCCACCCGCTCCTCCATGGCCTCCAGCTCTGTGATCGAGGCCACCACCCCGAGAGGAGAGAAGCCCGTGAGTGCGAACCTGTCCCTCCTCCCTTGCCCAGTTTTCCTCCTGCCACTTTTGGTGTGGCTGTCACCACCTCCTTTGGGGACAGCAATCTTCAACCCAGCCTCAAGTGTGGGAGCCTCTGGCTGGGCCCTGACTGCCCCCTTCTCCTCTCACGCCCACTCTCTCCCTGCCTGAGATCTCCCACATGACCTTGGGGGCCGCCAGCATGCAGGAGCTCCCAGATCAGCATCCATCTGCACCCCACCAGGCCCCACCTGCTGACGGCCTCCCTGAAATCTCTCAGCTGCCCAGCCCCGCCCCCACCACCTGGTGGTTCAACTCAGCCCCCTGTCCCCCCCGCTCTCAGCCTGGCCACTGGGCCACACCCGACACAGTCTACTCTCAAGCTCTCCTCGAGTCCAGTCTGATCTCAGGGCCTGTCTCAGCTGGGAGCAGTGAGCACCCATCGGGTGGGTGCGTTGGGTCCATTGGACAGAGCAGGAAGCCGGGGCTCTCCAGGCTGCACCCCTTGCCGGGGCCATGCCCAGCACCTCCTCTTGCCCCATGAGAGAACCACTGTCCTGCTCAGCTCCACAGCTAGCCACCCCCTCCAACCTCTTTGCCATCTGTCCCTTTCGTCCTCCCTGGCCCACCAAGCTCCTGCCATGTCACCACCTGCCACCCAGCCTGGCTCTAGATTCCAGCCTTGAAGCCTGCCCGGTAGTCCCTTGCCCAAACCACTCGCCACTTCCCACTGAAGAACCAACCATATGAGAAATGTGGAGAGGGTGGCCCAGCCGGCGTGGCTCAGTGGTTGAGCATCAGCCTATGAACCAGGAGGTCACAGTTCGATTCCCAGTCATAGCACATGCCTGGGTTGCAGGCTCGATCCCCAGTGGAGGGCATGCAGGAGGGAGCCGATCGATGGTTCTCTCTCATCATTAATGTTTCTCTCTCTCCCTCTCCCTTCCTCTCTGAAATCAATAAAAATATATGTTTTAAAAAGAACCATGAAGCCCAAATGCATGAGCCTCCGTGTCCCCTGTCCTTGCCGCTGGGCCCATCTTTCCCCTCGCTGGCCTGCCCCTCTCTGGGATGGGCTCAGCCAGCCTGTCTGAGGTCAGGAAGGACAGGCTCAACCCTCAGGAGGGAAGAATTTGGTTCATAAGGGGAGGCAAAGC